AATCAAAGATGGCAGCTATGATTTTCGTCAATAAATTAACGAGCACTCGCTCGCCAAAATTACGCCTGCTCTGCTGGATAGGGCTCGCTTAGCGATTGGTCCAGGATCTCACGCGATTCCCTCAACAAATCCTCTCGGTCAATCGCGACCAATCGCGATTTCGCGCGCTTGATACCGATTATTGTATTGACTGTGAGTGCGTAAAGCTTCATATTTATTTAACTTTGTTCTGAGAGGCTTTTTCGACTACTTCAGCGTTTGAGGTGTTTAATATCTTTAAACTCGACAGGAGAGCATCATCTTGTGTTGCTGTCGAAGCTGATACTCACACAAAACAACTCATCAGACAGTACTCTGTGGCAACGCCTCACATTTCACCTAAGAGACCTTTTAGACTTCCACGAACGAGCACGTTTGCTCTGGTAGGAGTTTTTTAGATAGATATTAGAAACAAACTGTTTCATTCTTCGATGCATTTCAAAATTACTCAAAGAATGATGTGGACGGCGATAATTCTTTTCCAGCCAGGGATAGGCGTTGCGAAAAATGTCATGAGTTTTTCAGGGCTACTTGGTCAGGCAATGCGTTGGCTATCTTTATTTTTGTTTGCTTTTTCAGGGTAATTCATTACTCAATCAGACGAAAGCTTTGGATGCAGAACAGCCCTCCACTGAGGTATGAAAGAGTCGACATCTTATGTTGAGTATGTATTAGGAATTTAGAGTTTTAGAGCGTTATCGTGTTAACTTTCAGATCGTTAGACTAGAACGCCGTTCCATTCAACAAATTAACGGTTTGCGTAACATAGACTCGCTAATTAGTACTTTTAGCGTACTTGGTATAATGTTGGTTACATTGGTTTTTTGATAAAATCAATTTCGTTTTCATAGGATCTTTCTGTCGAAATAATGTTCCGGTGTTTAAAATCTCCTTTTGGATGGAGCAGCTCTCGATCCGGTTTGTGTTGCTAGCTCAGTAATATTTTTAAATGAATTAGACATCTTTAAAATTAGAATTTACACCATAAGTAGTAAAGGTTATTGCCGAAGTGATTAGAAGTGATTAGAATTAATGAGTTGACACTGTCTTTGTTCCTTTCATCTGAAGTGCCATTTCGAAGATAACATTTTACTTAAGAATTTGAACCTATAATGAGTAAACTCGAAAGTGCCCCCCATCCGTAAAGAAAATTCTGGTAAGTTGTAAAGACACGCTTAAGAGAGCCACTACATGTGAAGAACGAGCTTTTGCTTTGAGTTTTCTCTTATGACTGTCAGCTTGTGCCAGCTGCAGATGGTGGGTCAGGGAGGAAGATTGATAAAGCGAAAACCAGCCAAAGCCTGGAATAGTCTACGCCATTTTTGTTCGTCCTATTTTTTTGGATCGTTTCCACCATACATGACCTTACATGTCTGGCTTTTGTATTATAGGGGAAGGTTCATCCAACAAGGTGTCTCTTAATTTATCAACGTTGGTCTCGTAAGTCTCGATTGTCTCGTAAACTGCACACTTTGTAACATCAGCGGGATATTGATTCTGATGGAATGATGATTTTTGAAATTAAATTTGACATTCCAGAGACGAAGATCCTCAATGGACGAACGCTCTTCAACTGGGGCCACTTTCCTCTGTCTTATCGCAAGTAAGAGTGCTTGTAAAATTATGAAAACTCTGCCGCACTTTTCTTAGAATAAAAATTTCGTTTTTCTTGTTCTTCAAATAGTTTTTACAGCACGCGGATCAGAGCATTAAGTTCGAAACCGCTTGAAAATCTCAGCATTACAGTGGTTACTCTATTGGAATATTTTAGTATTTTTCAATGCTAAAACAGTTTTGTTTCTTACTCACTAGGTATTTCTGCAGACCGTAGAATGTTTAGCTGATACCAGATGGGAACTGCGTCGAATGGGGCAACAGGTACTGACATAGCTAACTTAACTTTGACCAAGAAAAAGCCGTTAGAAAAACTTCGCCTACATCCAGTGATACCCAGTGACGCCTCTTACATTCAAGTTCCATGGTGCTCCTCTTAGTCAAGGTTGTAAAACCAAAGAAGTGACCACTGTTCACAAATGGGGAAATATGACCGAGTCAGTGATACATGAGTACGGCTCCAAGTGCAGGAAACAGCGAAGGATGAAGTCGCGAAGGGTTTTGGTTTTGCATCTGATTGGCGTTGATTATATTGAATCTAATAAAGAAATGCAATCTTAGCTCACTTTCCAAACTCAACTTAAAATCACTGTCAAAGACTAACATGCTATCTCAGGCACGCCCTTCTTTAAAGGATATTTGATGCTCGGGTTATTTTCCCTTGCCTAAAATGTTGTTGTCGTCATAATTTTTAAGGTTCTTCCGCTGGCTACAGAAGTGGTTCGCTGGTTTGACATGAAACCATTAGAAATCCTATGGGACAATTTCCTGTCACGTGATCACACCCTGTTGTGTTATGGCAGCTGTATTGCCCTCAGGTATTCCATTCTCCATGCTGGTCGCCTGATGCATTTCTTGGAGCAGCCTCCGCCGAGTTGGAAGGTATTGTAGACAAGGCAGTGTTATGGCTAAAGAACTGTCACGACACACAAATAGGACTTTGCGCAAACTGGGAAGGCGATGACAACGAGAGCGCGCTAAAACAAAAGACTAATGAGCTGGAAGAAAGCTTTGATTGTTGTTATCTGCTTATAATTGTAGTAAAATTTCCAAAATTTTGTTTGGTCTGAGAGCGAAAACTCCAACAGCAAATTATGTGCATTTCTTCTTGGAAACCAACGACGCCTTCACATCTTATTCTGAAGTGAAGGTCTGGTGTCATTTATGGCGCAAAATATTTCAGAGAAATATATTTCCATATTTTTAGTCAGTGTTTTCCTCCGCGTTGTCGTCATGATAGCGGAAGGTCCCTTATGTAGTACTGCACTGGCATCCCATTTAACAGGAGTACCAATGCTCCAGATTACTCCATGTTACGGATGGATAAGCTCCTGTGGCTGTGATGAGTCAGCCAATTGTGCAGACTTTCCTTTTACATTTATGTGTCCGTGTTTGATCTGCTTTGGAAATGAAAGGATTTGATGTGGATGTTGTTATAGACAGTGATTTACGCAGTGACTAATCTTAAAAAGTTCAACCTTTTTTCGGTCTCTAGGATCCAGAGAGCTGTGGTCGGGCTGCATTGACAGTTGTGGAGGAAATTAAACGAGGGCTGAAGAGGTGGCTACATCAGGTGGGTTTGCAGTCTACTAAATATAGCCCACATAGTTGCCCACCATTGTCAAAACTTTTCGCTTTAGCAACCTATCAGTTAGACTACTAGGAACAAACCAAGTTTAAGCACCACTAGTTTTGGTTAAGTAGGGTGGGTTTTGAATGAACTCTAATCTGATTCGCCGAGAAAAATCAGTGGGCCTCGGAAAAATTAAGTGTCCATTTGGCCAAGTTAGAGAATTTTGAGTTCCCTTTCATTCACCGTGGTTTATTGGCTTAAAAGGAAGGGAAAAGACTGAAAGTGAGGGTTAAGTGTCAAGAGCTCGTTATTTTATGTAACTAAAACAAAATGATTAAATACACTGTTTAGAATCTTATGTTCTCTCTCCTCTTTTAAATCTTTTCCATGCAGGTGTACGATCTATTCACAGATCCATGTTTTGATAAGCTGTCAGTTGTCGCCATGGAAACGATTATGATGTCTCACATTTGTTTTCCTTATGAACCGGACAACTTTGACCAGGTTATAAAATTGAGATAATTGGCCAATGAGAGCCTGCAGAACAGGCGTCATTATCATGCATTACTGTACATTCGCACAATTCAGTCGAGGGAATACAGGCGCGAAGTGCGCATGAAGGGTTAGTCGCACGCGTGGAGGAGCTGCCATATTGTTAGCGAGAAACGTCTTGATGCATTTGCAAAGGCGATTTTTCTTTCGCCCTTTTCCTCGCGTGCACAACTCGCTCGAGGCGTTTAGGTCGTTCTTGCGTTCGCTCGACAAAAAGCGGGAAAAAGTTCGCCTGATCTATTGGCAAGGTCGTTAAAGGCGTCAAATTTTAATAAATTTCTTTAGGTAAAGGAGCTAGTGTCGGGACTCTGAGAAGTCTTGAATATGAAGTCATCTCCTGTAAACTTTTTCCTTGTTTTTTTTAAGATAGAAATGATCTTTCCTCCTTATTTGAAAATATGTGGATCTGTAGAAACTCCAAGGGTGGAATACTAGCAACATCCGACGATAAACCACCTTTTTCTTGCAAATACAAAATGTTCTCTTTTATTTCAGAAAGCGTTTTGTGATTTTATAGGTTCCACTTGGTGGAGTGTGATCATTTGTGATGGCATAGTTTTGTTGCTTTAGAGAGATACTGCCTCATGCAAAATGAGGATCTGTGAGGGTCAACTGAAGTTGTTTTATACTGCACTATTTTGGATCAACGTCAGATTCTGAGCAACTGCGCACCTTCCCCTCCCTTAACAGTCTAACCCCACCTAAACTCTAACTTGTTATCAGTTGATTGTTGTTGCGCATTTGTTCAGATACTGACATTGTTTCATTATTTTTAGTTCATATCTGCCGCTTGTTTCGAAACCTCGGTCAGTTCTGGGTGTCCTCCTTCAGCATGTTTACTCTGAGTGTTTACCAGTGATAGTAATTACCCCTTTTTTGAAAACAATCAAACTTCCAATTTTGTTCTCCTGACAGAAACTCAGAGGGGAAGAAATTGTTTTAAACAAAATACTCCTTCTTTATGCCCATTCGTATCCAGAAAGTCCTATAGGTGAGTCGATTTGACTGTTTTTTATCAATATGCATAGAAACGCGAGAGAGCGATTTGCAACTAATTGCAGTAACGTTATATAAAAAGGAAAAAGCTATGAGCCAAATTCGAATTCATTAGCATACAGCGTGAGCATACGGCACTAAAATATATTTATGTATATATTTTTTTCTTTTTAAATCTTTTGGAGTCGCTTGAAATCTCTTAAATCTCATACGCCCAAGAAGTTTAAGAGAATAATTATTTCAGTGGAAATTCTGGGAAAATTGGTCGCTGGCGGGCATATAGCCTGGGGGAAGTTCTAAATGCTAATTAACTCCTATTTGTCTTTTTCCCTTTTTTTTGTATTTCAATTTTTGCTTTTTTATATGAAAACGTTATAAGGAAAACGAACATGAACAGAGACAACTGACTGTGACTCCATGACACTTGAAACATTATTCTTTGCCACAGGAAACAGTCCATTTTAGGACTTACCCTTATCCTGACGATCGCCCGACGTCATTCAAACGTGTGGGTAGTATTAAATGTCACTCTTTACACTTTCTCTTAGATGCGTTCACGCCTTTTTAGACAAAGCGCTAGACACCTTTTCGTGCAAAACACTCTAAGGATGAGATTCAGCCTCTTCTTCTTTCCGGTTGGTTTTGTATACAGAAGACTCAAACTCCCATTTCATTAGAATTTGTCTCGTGTCTTGAGGAGCGGTGAATGATATTTTCACTGCCCTCGATTGCGAAGGCTTTTTTTTTTCGGTTCATTTGCTCTCTGTACTTCATAAGAGATTTCCTCTTAGTTGTTGCCTCTATTCCCTTTTTAATCTTAGATTCCTCAATCTTGACTTGTCGATTTCATTCGATTGTTGTCCGCGCATATTGATTCATTTGACTTCTGCTACAAGCTTTGGTATAGAGAAATAAACATTGACTTCAGTGGGTGAATTTCAGTCGTCATGTCTAGAACTCGCGGGGTTTGTTAGCGTTATGAAAGCTCAACAACGCTGGTCTTTCTTAAGAGTCTTAGGTTCGATCAATTTCTTAATTTGACGCTTTAGTATTTGTGTGGATTAAAGTGTTGCAGGTGAACGAGAGGGGAAAATTACTTGTGATTTAGACGATGTTGATTTAAGTTACGTGCAGTCGAATGGAAAGAACAGACTAGTGATGTTTATTTTACAGATATTTTGATAAATTAACTAGGAAACACGGAGCACTAACACGTATAGAAATGGGTTTTACGGTGGTTTGAATTAATCAACCAGGAGATGCAATTTTCAATTCAAATTTTAAAGTTGTTTTTATTTTCGGTCTTGTTGCATCAGCTATTATTTTAAGTTATCAAAGGAAACTTTTAAGCCTAGTTTGCTTCGTCAAATATTGAAAATATGCAAATCGTTTACTGTTAACTGGATGATATCACCGAAAGGAAGCAGTCTTGATTTCACAGCATTGATGCTTTTCTGAAAATGGAATAGATGAGCAATATTTGTTACATAAGCTACTTTTTAATCTTCATTGTTTTGTTTTTTTTTCTCGAAGAGAGTGGGGGCAAAAAAATTAACATCGAGAAAAATCTAAAAAAGATATATTTAGAGTAAATAATCTCTCGGTTTTGGCTTTGTTTAGCAGCAGGTGTCCCCACGTTAAAAAGAAAGGTTAGCTGATTCGGTATTAATTATTTGGAAGATAAATTTTTTTTTTCGTATGCAAAACGGTCAGTTTTATACACAATATTGTTAAGGTCTTCCAGAAGTGCTGCCATTTACTTTTGACTGATATTAAAGATCATGGGCGGGGAGATTTCGTTCAAACAAATTGAAACACAGTTACAATGACATCGTTTATTATCCATTAGGAGAAATTCTGAATTTTATGGGGCGGTTTATTTTAATTAAGGGTATGGTAATCTTACAGGCCTTAGTTGGCGGGTAATCGTGAAAGAACACCAAATATTGTTAATACTGAATTCCGCGAACATTGTTAATATATACATGTCGTGTGAGGAAGTTTTGTCAGAATTCGCCCATATGACTGATTTGTTGTCTTGACATCACCTTAGCTATGCAAATTTAAACTGGATCATTGGGTGAGGTCATTCAACTAATTTTTGTTTAAAAAGGCAAGACGTTAACTGAATTGTTGCAACAGGCAGCGATAACATGAAGATCTCGTCTTGCGAAGCGGTCCTACAGTACGTCCCAGCACTTTCCGAATTTGCAGATCTTCGCTTGACTTTCGTGGTTAATTTGGTGCTTAATGTTTTTCTTTGTCATGCAGCGGTAGCGTTAAACCTGCTCACGATCCACGCAATACGAAAAACCTGGTCGTTGCCAAAAACGTTGAAAATATTGCTCTTAAGTCTTGCTGTTTCTGATGTTGGAGTCGGTTTAGTGGTCCATCCATTTTACATTTCTCTTCTCGTGAAGTGGCTACACTATAGCAAACCCAGCTGTTTTACCTACAAGATATTTTTCATGATCATGTCTCTGTTTGCATTGGCGTCGTTTTTTGGTGTTGTTCTTTTAAGCGTGGACAGATTTATGGCGATTCAGTTTCACCTTAGATACAGGGAAATCGTAACTCACAGGCGTGTTGCTGCTGTGGTGATCACCGTTTGGGTTTTCAGTGCTTCGCTGTCTTTGACACCAGCATGGTTCCCGAGCGAAAGTTCTCTTATTATATTCTTTGTTGGAACCATTTGCCTTATGTTTACTACTTTGGTCTACTGCAAGATTTTTGTGGTTTTACGACGCCATAAAAACCAGATTAGAGGCCTTCAGTTGCAGCAAGCAGCACCGAACAGTGAAATGAGAAACTTAACTAGTCTTTCAAAATCAGCAGTCAATTTATTCTACGTTTATGTTGTGTTTATGGTGTGCTATTTGCCAAGAGGAGGCAGTTTAATTGGAACTGCAATTTTAGAGCGGAGTACTATGATAAAGGGTTTTCTTCTTTGTTCGTGGACTCTGGTGTTTCTTAATTCGTCTTTGAATCCGGTAATCTACTGTTTAAAGATGAGACACTTTCGACATGCTGTCAGAGACATCTTGAGGAACATGCGTTTTCGCAGAAATCGCTCCCAAAGCGAACGTAGAACTTTTTCTGATTTCCGCGGTGAGGACGTGACTCGCTTTCCAACCGGTTTATGAACGCCCGATTCGGCAATTGAGCGTGAAGTGCAAATGGTTGAGTGAAAGAGTCGGTTTATTCAAAATCGGGGAAACTTTCAACGAGAACAAGGAGCTGTTGCTTAAGTCGATGTTTTTCAGAATCGAAACACTTGGGAAACCGTTTTGGCAATTGAAGTATGATTCACTTCCATTATAATTATAATTTGATTGATCAAATGTCGACAAGTATACTGTGGTCATAATAATGAGATTTACTGCGATATTTCAGTAAATTTACGACTTTTGGTGGTATGTGAATTAATTGACCTTATTTTCTTTCGGATTTGTGAGGGGTGAGAGCAAACTACTGACTAGCAACTACAGCGCGATAGAAGCGAACACCTGGTAGCAAATTATTTCTATTTTTCTATAATTTTGATGAAGATATAATCTGACTAAAAGTACTAACCCTTACCCCAACCTTTTTTCCTAGTCGATGTTTGGCTCGTAAGAGCAGATCCAACTCTTAGGAAGCTATGATGAAGTAGAATATTTCAGTCCGAATGCGATTTAGCCTGACCCAAGCGGCATATTTTATTTTATCTAGTTTTTTGCCTATATCCTTATAGACCTGTCGACCAGTTTTTTAATCCTCGAATACATTTTAATTCTAATTGTGGTACTTTCAGGATCGATGGCCTCTAGTTCATTGGTTGAATTACTGTTATGTGTTACCATCCTTAAATAAAGTTGTTGTTATCATTATACTGTGACCAAAAAGCGTTTTCTCCTCACGGTATCTGTCCATTGTTATACATACGTATAATGGAAGAAAAATATCTCCTGGGGAAACTGTTTCATTAGTGTGGGTGATTGCGTGTTTCCCCGTAAATTTTGGATTTTAATTTTAATATTTCAGGATGTGGGAAACCAGTCCTGCTAAAAACAAAACATTTGCCATAATGAAATTGTAATTCTCTCGGGCAAAGTTCAGCCTTCTTTTAATATTTGCAATTTCAAGCAATTTTGCCCGCGACAATTGCCAAAATTAAGGAGAAATGCCTTGTCTCAGCTTATCAGTTTTGGTTATTTTGACATGTTTGTTACTAAATACCAAATCGTTAGGGCTAAGTTTCTGAGAAATGTTAGGCAAACAGTGCGAAAAGTTTAGATATTTTGTGTCTGTTTTATAAAACATTCTTGTTTAATTACGACTAATCTATGAACTGAATATACTCACAGTACTACTGCTGAAGGATCAGCTCTAGCTCGGCATGGATAACAAAGTTTGCATTCATTGCAATTATGAAAGGGTTTTGAATGAGGCCAAATTGTGATCGTTCTTAAGATCACCCCATTTCCTTGCAGAGATTTAATATTTTTTATCGGCTTGGTTCTCCTCGTTTAAGTCGCAAAGTTCAAAAAGGAAATAAGCAAGGGAAGTCACCATCAAAGCTCAACTGCACTTGCTCTCTCGAAAGCCTATCTTTCCTTTAGCCCTTTATAATCCAACATCAGCATTCATATTCTCCCTACTGTTCTCTACATTTCCTATGGTACTGGCAGGAGAATTTGTCTACAAATCAAGAGCTTACTTTTTCTAACTGGTGATGATTTCTTATATTCTCATGACTGTGATGTGTTATTCAGTAGCATTACTTTAAGGAGAAGTTTGATGTTAGTCACTACTGGGAGTTAAAGGGTTAATCACTACGTTTGTGGATTTTTTTTGATGTCTTGCAATGACGTCAGGAAAAAAACATCTTCGGTGGTCGTCTGAAGAGTTGTGCCTAATTGTTCTATCTTCATTATCTAACAGGGGTTGTGCTGAGGAAACAATCTCGTTTGGATGCTGATTCTTCGTATATTCCACCGTCCGACGGTTTTCTCAGGTAAGTATTCTTTGTATTGATGCTTTGCATTTTTTCAACTTTTTGTTTAACATAGGCATGCTCGCATGCAATTGTTTTTTTGTGGATGGGTGGTTTTATGTTTGCATTTCTGAAAAAGAAAAAGAGCATTTACCTAGCCGTAAGGTGGCGAGGTGAGTATCCATCTCTCTCACCGACGCTGAGTTGAATAACTGCTCTGGCGTGTACAGTGAGTACCACACAAGCCGAACAACTAGCAGATCAAACAGTCAGGCAGCCATTTTGTTTGTCTTTCAGTTTTTCAACGAGAGCGGCTACCGTACAACAGCATGCACTGCAGGTCAGAACTTATCTTACGTTTTCGTACACTGTTGCGTACACTGTACACTGTTGCATCTTAAAAGTAATTTTATTGGGGATCTTAGTGAAGGATGATCTTATTCAGTGAATGGCACAGACATACTTGAAGAAAAAGAAGTCCGATTGCTGTCAATTTGTGTCGAGCTAACGAATTTCCGATAAGAACGAGATTGGAGTGTCCGAAGTACAAATCGGATGGTCGTAGGCTGCACTCCTATTGGGGGCAATCGAATTTTTTATGTCCGAGTACGCATATGTCATTCACTTAATATCGTCATCTTTCTTTTAAATTGATTATGTTGTGATGTAATCGGGTTATGTGTCGAATTTCTTCCGAACTCTCGGTGTTGTAACTGTGAATATATGAAAATCATATGTGCGAAATGCGTATAAAGAAGTGAATATGAAAGCGATCTTCGCAGTAATGAACACTACTTGAGCAGTAGTGAAAATAAGGCCTGAAAAAAATTCAGGCCTGTATGGGATTAACCCATGACCTCCGCGGCACCGGTGCAGTGCTCTACCAACTGAGCTGACAAGCCAACTGGAAGCTGGTCATAATGTTATAATGTTTTCAGGCCTGATTTTCACTAATGCTTAAGTAGTGTTCATTACAACGAGAATCGCTCTCGTATTCACTTCTCGTTGTTGTGTTCCTAACATTGAATCAGTGTTGTCTACTCTTTTTTTAAAGAGAGAAAAGGTTTCACCAAAACTTTTTTTGTGTAGGCCAGCAAATTCCTGATCTCCGAAGTACATTCAGTTCTCCCAAGGTTCCTGAAAGATTGCGATGCTGACCAGTTGGTAAGAAAACTATTTTTTTCTCTTCCACAGCTTTGGGGCTGTTATTTTGTCGTTGTTACTGGTGTTGTTTTTGATGTAGCATTTTCATATGTTTGGGCGAACCTCTATACTAGAAGGGCTAATGTTAGTGTCCTTTTTTGGAGAAGCGGAGGGTTATATCCAGACCGCTCGAACTCCGTTTTAAAATGGTCTTGATGGAAGGCTTCGCTTTAGAGAGAAAAACAGAGTCAAACTGCGTTCAATCTTGAACTTGAAAATGTGTGTGTTTTCATTATCAAACAGATCATGATCTTCCCAGTGCTAGTTCATTATATTGCACAATTCTTTGAGGATTCTGCTGTGTGCAGAGCACTGCTGGATGGGTGAGCAGCCAGTTTTTAAGAGATTTTCGTTAGTATATTCAATACTTTTTGTCGTGTGGCTAAAAAATTTGCATAACTATACATTTTCCTCTGCAATCGCCTTACTGGTTGACTTTTGACCCGAAAGCTCAATTAGTTGAAGTCGACCTGAGTTTGTTGAAGCCACTAAACAAAAAAAGAAGTGATTACTGATGGGCATTTGCTGTCTTAGACGAAAGTATATACTAATTATCTACTGGAAATGCAGTCGTTTCAAGATAACGGTTACTTAACAAGTGTTTGTCTTTCATGGTTATAACTATAAAAGAATGTGTATCACAATAAGCTCATGATTAATTGTAGATCGCGTCGTTTCGACTGCTTTACTGCAGGTATTCGACTTTTGAAGTCTAGCAGTATTGCAGTCGAAATGTCGCCGCTAAAATTGATAGAGACTCCGTCTTTATGGTGAGTCAACCGATTGATCGTTCATTTATCATTTTAGTTACACTTAACATGATTGCCTTTTCAGATTGTACATTATATTGTACCGGGTGGAGGAAATGCACATGCAGGGAGACACCGGGTGAGAACACTTCGTCAATATCCTCATAGTTATTACGTTGATCAATTAGAAGCTTTAGCATTCCCCCTCCGGGCAACCTCCCCGGGCATTTGAACTTTTGAAGATTAATTCGTTTAAATCACCCCCTCCCTCCCTCCCTCCCCGGGCTAAATGGAGTTCAAATGCCCCACCCAAGTGCCAGATTTGATTTTCAATATTTTGATAAAAGGCAATATGAGCGACCGTGACTCACCTGTAAACCTTTTCTTCTGAGCCATCTGTTCGCGAAACTGAACTTTTTACCTTTAAACACCTCCATACTAAAAGATAAAACACGTTAATTCCGCTGGAAAGACTCGAAAGATCTGGTTCAAATTCTCCACTCCACCGAGGTAAGTTCAAATTTCCACTCCCCGGGCACGGACGACGGTTAATTGCCCGTGGGTTTCCCGGGGGCGGTGTTGAATCTTCGAGTTAATTGGTGCATAAGTCCTAGCCTCAACTTAAGTGCTCTCGCGGGTATATTAGCTAGGAGGGCCCTTCCCCTTACCCACTCCCCGTTGGAGCTAGCTCCCAGGCTAGTTCATGCCATGGTCTAAGAACCCAGCGTTGAAAATTTCCCAATGATGAATGTCCTAAATTTCTTTCTATTGCAGAGACGATTTACACTCGCTGGTGCAGACCTATCTGGATTTTTCCCTTCTTGGCCTCAGAGAAGTGATTAACACGAAGGTAACTCCTGCCAACCAGTATTCTTACACAAGAAATTAAGTTTTGTCGTTTGTCGCACAATGTTGTCACTTCTGATGTGGATCATAACATGTCGACTGCATTCTGCTTTTCTTGGAGCAAACTGCATTCGAAACGTTGCGATCCACATCGAAAGTGATTTAATCAAGAGATAAACGATATTCCCTCATTTATACGTAATCAGCGAGTTAAAAATAATGTAAATTGCCGGAAATGGCCTTTTAATTCCTTTTTCAATTTGTTGTATTAAAAAGCATCTATGAGAGAGTGAATTTAAGGTTTACCCATCTTACTACTACGTCACTAGGAACTGGAGTTACAAGTGGTGCGAGAGGTCCTAGAAGTGTTCATTAGAGTGTGCATTTTTCTTGATCAACCCACATTTCTCAGCTTTGTGTTTAAAGCCATCAGTAACAGGCTGGACTATGTAAGTTTTCCACTTAGTGGCTTGTATGTTAACTCAAAAGATAATGTTACTGTGACAAGGGGCCAATGAAGAACCCAAAAAACAAAATCTCGATGTGCCACCAGTAAATATGAGCGTTCAAATATGGAGAGATTTTAGTTTTTACTTTGTTGGATTAGAAGTTCGCAGGTGTCTATCGACCATTATCCGATTTAGGGTGTAGTCAGGTTAAACCCATGCAATGGTGTGGTTCTATCGACTCCATTGGAAAATTTCTCTTCTTGTTTGATAAATCTTTTGTTCCACAACACATCTTTGTCTGTGTCAAGTTGATTTGTGTTGTAGGCCAATTATTGTTTGTTTACTTTTCATGTTAACCTTACGTCTCAGTTGACGGACTTCAGTTGTAACTTCTTACGATATCAATACACCGCAAAGCAAACAAGTATCTTGTCAAATATCTTGATGTAGTAGGGAGTTCTTGTTTTTTTGAAAGTAATGGATAGCAAGTTGATCGAACTTCAAGCCGTAACATGATGAAACTGCCCAACTTCACTTCTCTTTTTCTTACCTCGTACTCAGGAACCTGACTTGGTGCGTCTTATGAGTGAGGAGGAAGGAAGCAGCAGGTTGAACGAGACACCTGATTTACTGATCTTGTCTAACGATATACCGACCAGTCCCGCTGAGGAGCTCGTCATAACAGGCGAAGACGAGGAGGATCCTGGTTAGTGCCTCATGAAATTTACATGTAACTGACCTGAAAAGAGGGTTGTTTGACTCCTGACACGAAAGGGGCTGTCCAAATTTTTGCAGAGTTTTTAATGAAGGGTGAACTCAGAGCAGAGTTGAAAAACGAATGATATTCACCGAGCAGTAAGGCGGCGAGGTGAGTATCCACCTCTTTCACCGACACTTAGGCGAATAACTGTTTTGGCGTGTACAGTGTGTACCACATAAGCTGAATACCTCGCAGATCAAACAGTCTCATGCAGCCATTTTGTTTTTTCTTTGGCTGCCGGGAGATAAAATTAGTATTATGCTAATCATCTCCCGATCAGTCAATCAATGCGCAGGGAAAATCGATGGGGACTTTAGTTTTATACATTTGGTTCAATATTGCTGAACAAGTTTTTCAAAGTGGTTACGGTCTCTTTAGGAGCTGTAGCAACTTTTCTGTTCAAAAAAACAAGAGGCAGCAAGTTCTTTTTAGTCAATGACCAATAGAGGTGCATGCTCTTAACTGGGAAACGAGATTAGCGCATGTGCACAATTGCATGGTTCAAAAAGTGAACGTGGTATTTGTATTCGCATTCAACGGTTAAGGTTCCTGGCGAGTGCTGCACTCAAATACTAGTCTACAGGTTTAAGGGTTAACGAGTTTGGTGTCTTTGACGTCTTCTTTTGATCGATTGTTTAGACGCTGGTCGTGTAATGCAAGAGTCAGTAGCTCTAGACACTTCACATGAGAGTAGTCGAGGTACAACACGATTGCCCAGCCCAGAAGTAAGCGCGGACAATGAAGAATTCTCTGACTGGGACAGCTGGGAAGATGAAAACGAGGTACAGGTGTAGTTTAAGGACCTTTTTCAGGTTTGAAGATGGGGAGAGGGTGGGGGTGGGGTGGGGTGGGTTGATACTATCAGTCGTTCGCTTTGCAGGCCTTATTCTCCTAGTCCCTGGCGTTTCCTCGTCGAGGATTCTCAACTAGCAAGAGCTGAAATTCTTTTTGCACGAACACAAGAGAATCCCACCATGGTCAAGAATACTTTTTTACGCAGGTTTCCTCAGTTGTTTTGAGTAGATAATGTTAAAGAAAACATTTTTCTACGTGTAGTGTATAGTTAGAGTGACTTTCGTGTATAGTCACAGTCATTTAGTGTATAGTTAGTTTAACATTCCTTTCCTCATCTGGCTAAGGGCAAAAAACAGATTTAAAAAAGGTTTCATGGCTACTTATTGTTTATCGTTAAGTCTCGTGTTTGATATTGTTTGTTTTTGCTTCCTATTGTAGAATGAAACTGTCCTTATGAGGTTGTTTTCGGAATTTCTGCGTCAAATAAGTCAAGTCTATCAATCAAGAAGCGCGGAAGGTTTGTAATTCTCCCTTTTAGAAGAGTTCTCAGCATTTATGGGGAGGAACTCATCTCCCATAGATTCCTTTTTTCCTTGCTCGGTATAAATGAGTAACATCCCTCTCTGACTTTCATTTTTCCTCTTAAACCAACCATTTACATTTCTTTTAAGAAACAAATGGAAAGAAGGAGTTATATAACGCCTTTTGGTATTTATTTGTAGGCTATTCTGTATTTCGAGGAGAACTTCTCAAGTGTGGGGATACAGATCAGAAGGCCATAACGAAGTAAGCACAGTTGTTGGGTTACCGGTAGAGTTGAGTTAACGCAGTTGTTATTTAAACAAGTTTGTACAAGATTTACAAAACACTTTCATTCTGAAGCAGAAACATTTTTCTCCGTTCAGTCTAATTTAAATATTAAAAACTTAGATAGATCGCTCCACTTGTTAACGTTGCAGAGTATTGGTTGGTTGGTTCGCCTGCGAACAGGCCTTTATTATAAACGCTGCAAGACGCGCGTTTCTCCGCCCGCGGGCAGACGGGCGACTAATCAGGGAGAGGTTGGCCCCTAGACCCCTCGCTAGTTCGCGTTGCGCAAGGCCTTATAGTTTCCGGGGGGGGGGGGGGGGGGGGGGATACGCTGTTGCCGGAACGCCATTAATGTAGGCCTGCTCACAGGCTATTGATGGATATACATTCTAAACCTAACGGACGGAAATTCTACCTATTTCAGAAACTTGCGCTGTTAAATTTAGGTGATTACTTTATTTCCCTGTTATGATGTTTCTGTGTTTTCGTCTCTCCTAAGCATAATGTCGTTCCAAGGTTGACAGACCTGAGTCCCGCTTACTTGGTAAACATCACTGGAGTGTGAGTTGAAAATGTCTGATTGATGGCACCGATTCTTAAACGAATGACTGACTGCCGCAAGAAATGAAACGAAGCTGATGGAAGGATGGAATGTTCCCGTGTTGTTTCACTTGCTTCATCAGAGAGACAAAACGGAAAGTGTGTGCAATTTGTCTACGTGACTTGTTGTCTGTCGTTTGATAATGTTTCCTGACATAAATGAATCACGGTTTGGCTTTTTGTAGTTTGTTTGCAAGTGTACAGCTGTTTACAACAATATGTTGTAGTTGCTACTCTGTACGCAGCCAGGTAGCGGTTGATAACACACGAACCGAAGTTAATACTCATTGAAGGATCGTTTTTGTCAGTCTCATTTTTTATAATAATAGACGTTTTGCCAAATCTAGGGATGCCTGGATTTTTATTAAAGAGAGGAAGGAGCTTAAGAGCACCAGAGCGTAAGATAAACTTACAATCTTATCGTCATTTTTCAAAGACGTGTATCCGCCTTCCATTTAATTTTTAGCACGAGGTAATTGGACATCATTAAAATGTTTGTGGCTACTCCTCAATAGGAAAGAGCAGAAAGGATAGTTCATGACTCGCGTTGAAAACGCGAAAGTTACTTGTTTGAAGAGCGGCACCTTTTGAAAGTTGAGCTCTGGGTTACAAGACTGAGAGGCATGGTGTTGGAAATATTAGGGGTAACTGCTGCATTGACCCTAAAGAACACGTAGCGTGTTAACAATATTGGTGTGGATTTTGTGGTTCAAAGGGAAGGTTAGATGGTCATTCAACATCCTAATTATCATGTTGGTATCTTTCCAGTAAAACATCTGAAATAAATGTTTATGTCAGTTAATGGCCCGTGCGTAAGAAGTCATCGTGTATAAAATAATTTGTACTTCGTACTCGTCGGCGAGACTGTCACGTCACTTTTGCTAACATGCGTTCTTGTAGCTTTATTTTTGGTTTGTTCCACTGATATGTACCATTTTCCCGTTAACGACGATCCTACAAGGGCCTATATGTTTTTGCATTTCACTCGATTTTGAATGCAACAATAAACTCCATTACAGAGCTGTGTCCTCTTGTTGTGGATTGATAATTACTGAGTTCACGTAACTACTCGGCGCCGGACTGGTTCTAAGAACTGATGGATTAACCCGAATGACACTATTACCACCGATAAGCAATCCCTTCAGTGAAGCACGGTAGGTACCATTTGTGAAGGCATACACGAATGGGTTATAAATCACAGACGCCTTAGCCATCAGTTCAGGAATTTCCGCTTCCCCGGATGAAAGCACGTGATGACCATTTACAAGAGCAGCTATGCTTACTACACAGTACGGTAACCAGCTTACCACGAACGCGGCTATAGAGAAAGAAGTCATGCGCACTAGCCTCATTTTAGATTTCATTCGACATGCGCGGATCATTGGGTTTCCTTCCAGAGGTACTCGTCGAATCACCCTGCGGAAAAGAATAGAAATGGGAAACGGAATGTGGGAGCAGACAGAGGAAGTCCGGAAAGAGGGAGCTGAAGAAGTGTGGTCAGTCTTAAACATCTCTGCATGGGGGCTGCAGTCCCTTTTGACATATTTGAATCCGCCCGTTTACTTCCCCAGTTTTGAAAAAAAGATATTAATACTGACATGTAGCAGAGTATGGAAGTTGAGTACCGTTCATGACAGTTTCTAGCCTCGTTTATTCATGTGTTCCAAACAATATGCGTTGGTTAAAGTACCGAGGTAATTTGTACGAAACAAGGATATTTGCTACGATTTGAGATTATTTTGAGTGTTAAGCGATTACGCATGGTCTCTATAGTGTGATGACTTCATGGTCCCCTTTGTATCCTCAGTGGTTGGGTAGTATTGTTTACGCGGGGTAATCACCGGTAAAGCCGTGACACATTTTGGTGCCTTCCGATCTACGGAGATCATTTAGACTGGAAATAAAAAGGTAAGTGGCTTTCGACTGAAAAAGTTTGGAGAAGCAGGGTCATGTTGAAATGTTGTCTTTTCTATTTGGCCAAATAATTGCTAAATAATATTACATTAAGTTTCATGCCTGTTAGCCACTTTGTGCTCTGAAATCAGTACATATAGTCTCCATGCTGTTCTCTGTGCATTTCTTAATGTGCTGACAAGGAGAATTTGTTTAACAATCAAGAGCTCCGTTAGCTGGTCATCATTTCCGTCATTCTCACGACCTTACTGTGTGATTCGGGGAATTAGATGCTGGTCACTCCTAGGGGTGAAAGGGTTAATGACACTCACCAGCTAAGAAAGCTAACTGATATTGTGTGGAAAAACACAACTGATATTTCGTCATACGGTTAGGGTAATTTGAATCTAACGACTCAACATGCATTAATTGATGCACACGTACCTATAGATCATGTAATGGAACGTCCCAATTACAGTAAGCGGAAGGAAAAAGCCAAACACCAATAGGAAGGCAATATACGCTACGCTCTCCGGCTCTGAACTTGTCCACTCAGGGGCGCAGCTTATGCCAGCTTCACCGGGTACAGCCCTGGTCCAACCAATCACAGGAGGAAGATTAAGAAATATCCCGTATAACCACGTACTTAACACTAGCAGAGACATATTTTTAGCATGTATTTTAGGTTTTGGCAAAGTCTGTTTGATACCGTGATACATAACGCCGCTCATCACAGTTAATGTAGCGATAGTGGTTATACCAATGGCGCCATTTGCGAAGGCGGACCACTTGCATCGCAGCGATCCCTCCTTAAGCTGTTTACCAACGAGATTCGACGCAATTACCACGGGGTACACTACGATAACCATGAGAATGTCTCCCACTGCTAAGTTGATCATAAGAGGAGTCAAGACTTTCTTTCGGTGCTCGCGGTAGTGAAGAATTATCAGAGTTAAGACATTTCCAAGGAATCCAACAGTTACAACAGCAAACATGACCACGGCATACGCGAAGTACATAGCGCGCCAGTTGAAAGATTTTCCTCCTGGTAAGCTGTGAGTATCTTTTGTAGTAATATTATCCATGGATGCAAACTGCTGGGCTCATCAGTTACAGGAAATCTGGGCAAAGAGACAAACAAATCAAAATTTTGCGTCAAAATAAAGAAAACCTCCAATTAAATAAAACCTGAATGAAGCAAAGTTACGCTTGCATATCGCGAAAAATCTAACCCTGCAGGCACATTTTTCGATTGCAAACCGTGGTAATCGTCTCTGATTCTTAAATAAACTCAATCTTGTTTTGTACTGCATGGTTTAATGCAACCTTTTCGATATTTCTCCTCATTCGCTAACACTTGATTAAAGCTTTTCCGTCAAGTAATGACAATTTTCAATGTCCCTGGTAGACAAAGGCTGAGTAGGTATAAATAGACCGTAACAACACAAGGATGTTTTTATAGCGTCCCACGCCAATGTCATAGAAGAAGTGATTGCCTTCATGCACACACCATAGCGTGGGATGTAAGGTGCTATTACTGACATGATAAGAGGTTAAGAGCTTAGCGTATTAATAAGGGCAAAAGCAAGGTGCAGATGTATTTAACAGTGTTGCCATTAATGTGAAAAGGGATTTGTGATTAACTTAGCTATTTTAACACTGTGTAAACGGCATTGGATGGAATCTCGCTGTTTTGAAGCCAGAAATTTTATTATATTTGGCTGATTCTGGTAGTTTATCACTGTTTTTTAAATTTTATGTCGGGCTGACCTTGAGAAGTTGATGAACTTGACCAAGTACTGGCTTGCCCTTGCCGGGTTTGATACAGATGGGCATATTAAGAGATTTCCTGAGTGGTGTAATTGAAATTTTGAGACAAAATCCTGAATGAACCAAAATATCGAGCCTGGCGGCATGATTTGTTTTGTCTCGTTCTACAGAGCATTTTAACAGGAGATTAATAGTACATACAGCCGTTATATAAAGAACATTCAACTCTATAAATCACTTCAGTTCACTTCCTGTATTTCACCCTGAAGTGGGACTATGCTAAAGTTCCAGTTGTACCTCAGAGTAGCGGCTAAGCAAGCAATGTCGGAATGAACAAGAGATTCCCAACGTGAACAACATCTTCTAAAAATCTTATTTTTGTACAATTTATTGGCCAGGTTGAGCGCAAAACCTCCCGCAAGCCTGCCTTTTTTTCCCGAATTTTCAGTGTAATTACCAAAACCTGGTGAAACGGAAAATAAACAAACGATGATCTCTTGAATCACGGTTTGCTGCTGATTACAGTTATACGCAACAGGCGTGTATGTTGTATGTTGATATTTAATCAAACATTTTAATGAATCCTAGCGAACGTTTCGAGCGTTAAACCCTTCGTCGTTCGCTCTAACCAAGGGCTAAAGCTTGAAACTCTAAATGGTGGCCAATTTACGTTATCAACAGGTTAATAATGCTAAATTACCCTGTTAAGGGAAACGGTTCGAGATGAGGGGAATTCGAGTTAGAAGATAAGAATTCACTAAAAACCTTTCTTCTTAGGAGATAATTTTAACCTGGCAATGCAACAAGCAATTCATGGAATACGACGATCGCAAAGACAGTGATTACAGGTGAAAATCGCGAGCGAATTTCGCCACTGTTTGATGTACGGGCTCACTTGGCAAGTTTTGAACCGATTGCGGCGCTTTTTTCCCTTCGATATCGTTTTCAAGCTTCATTTTGAAGAGTTATGTAATAGTATTTCATAATGAAATTTGATTGGCCGACTTCATCGGCTATTCGCAGCAGTGAGCTATGGAAATCGCACGAATGGGTGCGCAAGGTAAATGCTAGCGAATTTAATCATCGACATTAATCAGGTCGCAGCGATCGTCCTGAATTGAAATCGCTTCACCGCCGGGCACCAGTTGACGATTCTTGCCGACACGATCGAGTTAACGCGAAATTCGAGTTTGCCAAGTTTGGGTCAGTGAGAACCTACTTAAGTTTTAGAGGCAAACACCAGATTATTGTGTTCATTGTTTTCGAACTTTTTGAAAAACATAATAGCTTTTGGGTATATTAAAATTTCTTTTGAATCAGTCATTCCTTTTATTCATTTAAATCGCGGCAGGTAGGTCGAGTATTACTGACTTTCTCAGCATTGAAAATAATTGCTAAATATAGATAACAGAGAATTTAAGCAGGGCACCTGCCATTCCAAACGTTACAGACAGTTTCCGACGTTTTCAAGTGCCGGGTTTTCAAGATTTCTCCATATTAGCGGTTCGCATAACCTGTGGAAATCAACCTGGATAGCCTCGAACCAGTCACGAAAACGTTGTGCGAGTGTCTCGTGGTGAGCAAAAGAGAAAAACAGATTTAACGGTGTTTCGTTAATTGTCAAAGCCTACGCTAAGCATATTAAAATTCTGAAAAGAAGAAAAACACTCGCAAAAAAGGAGAGGCTTCTTTAGTGGTCTTTCATTTTTTGCTTTTTTAAATGACTTATTGTATAAAGCAGAAGAAATCTGAAATGCATACTTGGATATTTGACATTGCACGGAACTGATTCCTTCAGTTTTCAATAGACTCTAAAAATTGTTCTAGTTTTTTTAATTACTAAATCACTTGTCTAGTAGCTTTTTTAAGGTTCTACGCGATGTTTTGAAAGCAGCAGTGGTTTCAATCTGTTTTGAAGGAGATTGGTTCTACGTTAATAATGTTAAGGGAATTCTCTCAGATCTGTTTGAAAAGAATGGTGAATTTATTCCACGAGGGATTTTTTGTTAACTCGAAATAGATAAACCTTTCACTTATAAAACCTACCTTTTGACTCGACTTAGTGTTAATGAAGATGACAGGTAGTGAGAAGCCGGTGCGGTATTCTTGTTCAGTTTTCTCATACGTGGTGAACCCGAACTCTTTACAATACAGCAGTTCTCCTATAATTAAGAGATGTTTGTCACGTACTGCTCAAGTGTCCACTCACTTGTTTTGAAAAAGGCGTAGAAAGTGTTATTTCTTGCTAAAATATTTAAGTGCAGGTTTAAATGACAGGTAGGAACCTGTCCAGAATTTTTCTGCACGTTCGAATACGGTCAGCAGGGTACACATGTGGTTTTGTTAATTCAAAATATACCATTTTATTCAAAAACCGGATTCAAAAAGTCTAATAAATAATGCAAGCTGAAAAGGTTTTTAGTCAATTAAGGGAAATATTGCGACAAAGACCTTTATCAAGACTAGATAAAAAAGAATCGGTCTTTGTTTTAGAAGAGACTTTTGGATCGACATTAATGCTTAAGATATGACGAGGAAGATGTGTTCTTTATCCTTTAGTGGTTTCGACGACTATTTTAATACATGCTTTTCATTCTAATAGTCAGTCATAACTTAGCAGTAAATGACGTTCCTCTGGTTCTTAAATGCCACATGTTCCAATAAACACACTTGGTATATTTCATTTATCAAGAACCTTTTCCGAGATGTCAAAACAACAGAGGCATCGGAGCTTTTGTTATAGGGGGCTTTTTGATTTAGAGTATTACATAAGAGCGGACATTGAAAATAATTTAAACTCCCATTAGCCGTTCCAGGTCAATATTAAAAAGTGGTTTGGATTTTAATACCTTAGACTGAGAGAAAGTTGCAATTTTTGTTTTTTATAAAGCTAAACGACTCTACAGAAGCACGTCACACATCAATGAAATCTTTCCAGCCAGCTAGTATTGAAGAATTCAGATAGTGATATCAAATATCTTAATTTTGTTTTTGTTTGCGGTACAGTTTTAGTCGCTGATAAAAAATAATATAAGATTTAGAATAACAACTTTGAGCACTTACTGTACCAATTATGGTAAATTGATTCCAATTCCGGATTTAAAAATTGATCGTATGGTTTTTTTTTATTTTTCCGGCGGTTGAATCGTGTTGCACATTTGACACTTCTCATTTCGACGGGCGAACGTGTGGTAAAAATTGCGGACTTCTCTGAAATCGTTCCATTAGAACAAAGAAAAATTATTTCTAATAGTCCCTGATAAATGGTAAATTTGAAGTCTGTGATAGGCTGCAATAATATCGTTTCAAAAACAGTTGAAGATGTATGGATATTTCCAGACTTAGCAGTCTCAGCGCCGAAGGCAGGATTCTTAGAGTAACTCTATTTACCAGAAAGAAAGAACACCTTTCTCGTTTGCTCCGAAACAACGGTTTCAAGAGAGTAAAACGTCACTCTTTTCAATGAACGTTCTATCCATGAAGTCCTAAACGCAAGTATTAATAATTACCTTCTTCCGGAGCTTCCTCCGATCATCTACATTTCAATAGAGATCGGTAGGTTGATGCAATTATGACAGATCAAAGGAAAGTTAACCATTTTGCCGAACTTTGACTTGCTTAGCGCACATTACTCGTTGAAAAGACTTCAGAAGTTATAACAGAGAGTATTAAAATCGATTTTTGGTTCACTCTAGCGTTTCGGGTGAGTTTTTATTGCCGGACTAAGTTTGAAAACTTTCACTTGTGTCTTCAAGGCGCAATCCCACAATTTTAGGATACATCGTAGTCCAAAGTAAAGGATTTACACTGACAGACAAATCCTAATACAGGATTTTTATCGTTTATCGTTTGTAGTTTGAATTTGTTCTTAATGACTTACAATGAGTGGGAAAAGTCTTTCTCTCGTTCTACTCCTTTTTATTATTTGTGTCCTCTCCCCCATTTCAATGTTGCCTGTTGTTACCAAAACGCTAACGAATTTGTTGCAACTTTTGCCACTCGTGTAGCTTCCAGGAAGCTCACATTCATAAGGAGGTCATATGTTCGATTCCTGTTAAGAGTATTCAGTTTTTTTTTTTTGCGTATGACTCGTGGTAATATAAAAATAAAATCTTCCGCCGATCACGTGAAAAGGAAGTAGCGGAGCGTTTCGTGGAGGATAATGGAGTGTAACCCTGCTTTAAAGTTGCGTCAAAATTTCAGCCTAAATTAGGAAAGAAAATAGAGATCAGAAAGGAGTTTTGTGTCCTTTGTGAAAAAGTTAGGAAATACCACTGCTTGAATTTTTGTGTCTTCACAGGATTAAAGTTAAAGACCTACGAAAATCAATCGTCACAAGTTTAAAAAACATGTATTCTCGTTTATTGCGGCTTCTTTTTTTTTTTTTTTTTTTTTCATTCCCAAACACAGCTTGAGAATTTTGTCGAAGCCTGACAGCCTGAGAATCTTATTCCATTTCAAAACGTAATTGAAATCAAAAGTATGTCTATGTTGCGGTTTCCTTGGTCATATTTTTTTCAAATGGCACTAAGCATTTATAAAATTAGTGCAGCGTTTGAGCGGAATTTTGAAACGTAGCCAATGGAGAATTACGCAGAATTACGTCGATAGCGAGGTGCAATAAACGACCGAAATTTTTGTAAAAGATACTGTATGGCATTCAATGTTATTTTCATCTAATCCGTTATTTGACAATAATTTATACCCTTAAACCCCCTTGTTAAATCTAGTGGTTATGTTTCAATCAATTCAAAGCTTCAACATCCCCACGAGCAACCCCCTACGCATTTGAACTTTTAATGATTGTTTTTTTTTTTCAAATTCCCCCTTCATCCCCCCCCCCAAACCCGGACAAAAAAATGTGTTAAAATGCCCCACTCACGCTCAGAAAATGCTCGCGAAAGTGAACTATTTAGCCTAAACACCTCCATATTTAAAGATATAACACTTGTGTTCTGGTTCAAAATCTCCCACTCCAGCCAAATACGTTTCAAATTTTCCACATCCTGGTCACGGACGACGGTCAAATGCGTATGAGTTGGCTGGCAGGGAATGTTGAAGCTTCGATCGACCGGTGCATTAATATAATGTTTATGTTATGTTCCGGAAGTGTAACAACTAGATGTTGAAAATTTGAACTAACCGCTATGAGTTATGAGAATGGGTTTTGGGACTGTTATGTCTTTCATATGAAAGACGTTTCCTGAGCTTCCATCCTTCTACTCGTTCATTAATCCTGGATCATGTGTAGCACCTGCGACCTTCTGAAGTTCTCAAATCGCTATTACCGAATTAAGAATTTGTTAGTGAAACCTTTAGAAACAGACCATTCTCAGTTTATTTCCGAAGATGAGGAGCGTTTATTATCAAGTGGCTTCATTTCAGTCATTACAATGATAACAATGATATCGAAAAGTATCACAATTTTTTCCTCATTATGATTATACTCAAAACATTACCAAAATGTTCGAACGTGAATGTTTACCACCAGCCCAGTTTAGTGGTATGGTGGAAAATGAAATGACAAGAAAATATTTTACTGATATTTCAAGCGGGGGGTAACCATTGCAATCTAATCTGTGACCATCTGGTAACCATTTTACCTCAGCCTAATTGAATAGTGGAAAATTGTTTTCTTTTCAAGAGCAAAAATTGCGACGGCTCGTGGCCAATCGCCAAAATAATCCAATGACCCATGGCCAAATAATCTTCCCTCAGTTTGAATCAGTTTACTCTTCCTATACTGACTTCTTGTAGAAATTTGTGTCTTCTCTGTAGTTTTTTGCGGCTTAATTTCTCTATTTAAAATGCTCTTTACCGTTATTTTTTTGTGATAAAATGAATAATTATTCCAAGATAATAAATACGGTGGACTCTTGTCATTCTTCAAATAAACCATCGAAATACGCAAAAGTTTGGTTTAAAATAGTGCTTTCCTTAATGAATAGGGACAATCAAAAAAGGAAATTTCCGTCTTCATCTGTTTTCCTAGAATTCAAAAACTATAAAACGCGTCGGGAAGTAAATTGTTATTCCTTTTTCAAACTTTTCTTCTCTTTATATGGGGATTTACTTTTGATGAAACGAATTTTTCCGAAGGAGCAAATATAACAGACTCTCCCCATTCTTCAGATAAAATAGCGAGATACGATGAAATTCTCAAAAATTCAGAGCTTACCTTTGTGAATCAAATGGTGACATCCACAAAGGAAATCCAACCTCACTGCTATGTTTCCCTGTGAGTCAAAATTGAATCTTGAAACGCGTGTGAAAATAATTATGTTGTTCCTTTGTCAAACCGTTTCTCGTATTCAATGAGGATTTACTTAGCAAGCCCATAGTCGATACTTTAAATCAGGCCATAATATTCGCGTTATGTTAACATTACACTTTCGTGAGAAAGTTTCCCATTTGATCATTGTCTTGCTTTTCCTCAAATCTCTTCTGGGTGTTTTAGGGAAAATAAATATTTTATACCCAAGGTCTTGGGATCATGCTAGAATATGGAGTCGATCGATAAGGCGAGAAGAAACCACAATGTAAACACATCGCCGTGAATGGGTATGAAAAATGTCAGGTGTGCTGAAAATATTTTTCGCCAACAACTTGTAAGCAACATGCACGGGAAAGTGAAATGCAAATTTCATTTGCAGGCGCAAAAAGTACTTTTTAATGAAGACTGATCAATAAAAAACAAAGAGCGAGACGTCAGAGAATAGAAAGAAGCCTTTGAATATTAATATAATTTTTCATGTAACTTAAACCTGATTCTTCAGTCAAAACGTTTTTGCACGAAAAGTATTGCATCACAATCTTTCCGAAATCTTGTCAATTAAAACCTTAAATAAGCCAAGCACACATCAGTTGCAATAAATCAAATTTTTTTCCTGATATTGCTGCAAAGTGAATCTTTTTTTTCAACCAAACAATCTTTTTTTTTCCACTAGAATCCAGTTGCGCCGCTAATGACGCAGACAGTTTGTGTTTTTTAAAGCCCAAAGTCACTTGGTTTTGAAAGGAGCCAATCTTCTTAATCACGACCATTGATTGTCTTTCTGCATCATTACCGGTCAAAGCTTTTTTTTCAATTTTTCTTTTAGCGATATTTTATATTTCTTGCAATAAGTAACACGGCGTTTCGAATAATCCAACGCAGCTGATGTCGCGTTAAAAAGTATCCGCCGTAGGATTAAAAGACGGGGACGAAAACATGTTTGGCCCTTGGCATTACATTTTGTGTAAATTGCTGGTGGAGTTTTATTAAACGGTCGCTGGCTATTTTTCGTATGAGATCTTCTAAAAGGTAAAACTGTATGTAACTGTTGGTTACGTGTGCTTGTAAGAGTAGCACAGGCAATCATTCCATCGCGCATTTACTACCTAATGCGCCAACAGAACTGATTAGCCATCATACGAAGGCGAAAGTGATGACAACCTAAATAATTATGTGATGTTGTTTTGCAGAGGACACCAACGAGAATCACGAACCTTGATCGACTTCTTAGAGTTCACTGAGGCTGGTTACAGAGCCACTGCCTTGATCCCTGCAATACGTAGAGTGTCTCAAAAAAAGTTTAGTGATCGATGACCACGAGGAATCAAGAGTAACCTTTTTTGTCACAAGTTCTGAAGGGCTCCTGTGAAATCATAGCAAGAAAAGAACGAAAATGCATTGATTAACGCTAAGCCCTGATTGTTAGATGAGTAGGTGGCGCAAATGTCATTACCCGAGTAATTTCAGTTTTTGCCGTTGTATACCATGAAATCCACTTGTGAATGAATTTCAGAACTTAAAAATAACAGCAAAATGCAGAAAAAGATAAAATTTGAAATTGGACTCTTGAACTGCCCCTTGTCATCCACGTGCACGTCATGCACTTGATGAAAGAGAATTAAACTCAAAGACGTTTAAAGACACGAAAGGCATCCTGAGGAAGAATGACAGTTATGACGCCAATAAGTAGACTGTAAAGTCATCGTGTTAGCATTTTATTCCAAATTGAAAAACCAGAAAAGCGTAGTGAGCACTAGGAATGAAAAGTGTTTTCCGGCTGCTGTCAGTGCCTCTGAAACAGTTGTGCTTATGGTGATTCCTCAGGCATCCTCCACTGCGCACCCTCTACTGTGCACCCTCTACTGCGCGCCCTCTACTGCGCACCCTCTACTGCGCATGAAAATCACGTAATCAGGCGAATAAGCGCGCACGCATTCCGAGAACACGGTATTGTTTTTCAATCAATGGACCAAATAAAATGGACCGATAATCTTTAGCTCTTGAACAAGCACAGTGCCTGATAACTTTTTGTTTGCATAATTTTGGTGTACAATTTATCCCCTTTCAACCTAAGAAGTTAAAAAAAAAATTCTTCGAATGGAAAAAAGATAAAGCTAAAAGCGTGTACAAAGCCCGTTACCCGAGGATGCAAATTATGACCTTGAAAGGAACGACTCGATGAACGTTTTGTGTCTATATCATTTGTATTTGCGTGATTTTCGGACAAATTATTAATTAAATCGTTCCATACGATCGAGACTTTCTACCTATCAAGTTTTTTAAAGTGTTACTTCAAAAACCCTGACTTCCAGCCGCAGCAAAATGTACCGTGAACCGATAAAATGACGCGCGAGATTAAAGCTAGTATTGGCATAAATGTTTGTTCAGGCATAATAAGTTTGGCTTGTTATATCTCCTAAACAAGCACGGTGACCTATCTTTTTATTGTATTTTCGAAACAGACATTGGCAAGGAACATTTAAGGCCTGTTTTGGCCTGATTCAAAGCTTTGTATTCTTAATAACTCAACTTGAAAGACTTTATATTTCCTGTTTCTATGCTGGAAGTTCCTTTTAAGTATAACAATTCAAAGCTTACACGAATGGGACAATTTTCCATTCTTTTTTTTTCAGGAAGAGAGAAGGCAAAATTTTCAGACCTGTTCTATGATTTGCTTCTCAGTTTAAAACTGAATAATATGAGAGATTTTAGCTATACAATGGCCCTTGATGAAAAAATCTGTTTAAAAAGATTCTGGTGTTTAACTGTGAGCCTCGAATTCATGTGCAAGAGCTAAGGCTCACCGTCAAGCAATGCGCACATTATCTATTCACATTTATTGCGTTTCACGCTAGGAGAACGCAACCCATAATCTTAGGATTCCTCTGGTATACAGTTGGGATTCCTGTGGTATACGGTTGGGATTCCTGTAGTACTCAAGGATGACCTTTTGTACATGTGGTACTCATTTTCGTCGTACGTCTGCATTTTCTGCGCCATCTTGAATAATTTATCTTGTTTTGTCTACGTCTCATTCCGATGCGAAAATGACAATCGCGCACCTTGTGCCAAGTAGTTCAACTGGAAGTAGATTGAAGGCGGTTTAACTGGAACTTTTATCCAATATCCATTATCCATTAGTTTGCGTTGCATCTGGAACATTAGGAAAATTATTACAAACGGATTGTGTTCTTTCAGGAAAAGTAAACCATTTCACGCCGATCTTTCCCTTGGAAGTTCATGTCTACCTCGCCTTTAGAGAAAGAGCCGTTTCTTAACAGTTTAAACGAAAACCTCGTTCCAGTTAAAAGGTATACAGCAGCCGTTAAACGTTCTTCTCTGTAATATCAATAAAGTCCTGTCAGTTCAGCTCCTAACATCATCTGTCTCTTTACTGAACAATATTTTCCATATAGCCTTCAACTACTCTGCAGACGTTTCCCTCTGGTTTTAACTAGTTTACCTCAAACCGCGTAATGGGTACCCAACCATTCGTTCCTGATTCGTGTAAAGCCTGCGTTAGAACGAAAACCAAAGAACACTTTTAATCTATACCACGTACGCACTTCATAATCAATGATTACTACTAGTGTTAGCTCATATCTCTGCTGTGGTTGTAATAACCAGATTATTTTCTCTCCCAAAGTTTCTTGGCGCTGAGATGATAAAGTTATGATCTGTTGCTTCATCCGGAGCCACTCTCGGCCTGTTGTTACCGATGATAATTCGTACGAGTGTCCGCCGAAATCTTTCATTCATAATGATATAAATGATTGGATTGTAGACAACAGAGGCCTTAGCCATGAGTTCAGGGATTTCTGCCTCACCTGATGTGAGTACATGGTGTCCTTTGATAGTTGCCGTGAAGCTAACGATGCAATACGGTGACCAGCTCAATAAGAAGGCCACCATGGTTGCTATGATCATTAACACTGTTCTTTGTTGGTATCTTCTGCGTTGTGCGAGGATGAAAGGATCCAAGGGCACAGGAAAGCGTCTAAGCAATCTGTAGTAACAAATTTTTGTTGCATATTATTTACAGCCCGGGTACATTAATGAAAGTCAATCAATTAAGCAAAAGAATGCACTTTCTATCAGCTTACCGGAGTGTTTATCCATTAAGAATGTTGAGAGAACACTTGAATCCGGCGCGTGATTTACAAACTTTTGTCGTGTTCTCCCAACTTCCCTCGTGGGTTATTATACCGCTTAATAATAAAAATTACAATTTCCTCGATTTTAATTGGTTTAAAAAACTCCTATTTTCCACTAATTCACTTGCCAAGTTGTTTTTGTAGTTTAAATCAACCAATCATATTCAAAGTTGTAGTTCAAATCAACCAATCACAACCTTGGTTGTAATCATAATAGAAACAGTATACAGACTCCTTAATAAGAGCTTTCTTCAAGATGAATAATTTTTTCTTCTCTTCACGGAAATTGTAGTTTTTATGATTAATTACCGCTACAAACCTACAGAAAATGTGGTCTATTGCTTTTTACAGCATAAACTTACAATAAAACACAGCACGTTTCAATTTTTTATGGGTTTTCCTGTGCAATAAACGATAAGTTTTTGATCAATCAGGGTCCCCGCAGTATCTCAGTTCTGCTTTAATAAGTATTGACGTTATTTCCTCGCTAAACACCGTAGAGTGGTTTTCGATTAAAAAATGCTTCAAAGGCCAAAAACTAAAGTAATCAGATGGGCCAATATAGGCAAATATAACATTTGAAGGCACAGAAAACATAAATGCCAAAATTTTCCCATTTCATCTGGATCGGTTAAAAGTACATATAAAAACTGCTAAAAAAACCATTTGAAAAACCATACACTTCAGACACTCCATCTTATTCTGATCATGAGGCTCAGGTCGTTTTATCTCGATTGATGGCTCATGTGCATTTCATTACCCATTCCCCTTATGAAAGTTAATGGCGGTAAACAGATATATTGTTCAAATTTAAACCAACCGCGAACTGAACGGGAAAAATGAAGTGTGCGCATTTATAAAATATGATGTTAAAAAAGTGCCAGCAAAAAAGAAAATGTCATCGAAATTTCATCGAATTTATTTTTGGTTAAAGTTTATTACAGCACTGAACAAATTAAAATGATTAGATTGGATTACGTTCAGAACAGAAGTTCACCACGTCAGTTCTTCGTTTTCTTTATTACTTACCTGTGAGTCATGGTAAGGAACGTTGTTATCATTATAAACGGTATAAAGAAACCACCGGCGACTAACAGAACGATATACACAGTGCTCACAAGGTCCTGAGTCGTCCAATCAGGTGCACAGCTAAGACCGGCCTTACCGGGCACAAACCGGTTCCATCCTATCAAAGGAGGAAGCAAGGCGACAAATCCATACAGCCATGCGCCCATGATGAGGACTAAGTTTTGTCTGTTAGGAATGGAGTAATTTGGGTTGTTTCTCTTGATAGTTTGATACACTACACCGCTCATTGCTGTTAGAGTACCGATGGATGTAATTCCCGTTATACCGTTGATAAACCCGGACCAAATACAAAGAGGTCCTCCCGTACGCATCATTTGACCTTGCATGTTATTGCTGATGACTGCTGGGTAGCCAAACACGACAATCATGAGATCTGCTACGGCCAGGTTCATCATTAATGGAGTGATACTTTTCTTGCGGTGTTCCCGGTGTCGAAGGACTATTATGGTGAACAGATTACCAAAGAAACCGAATAAAAGAATGAGGAACATGATCACGCTGTAGCTCCAAAAAACTGAATTCCCAGTAAAGGTTTCCTCATCATGACTAGTCATGTTGGTGTTCGGCCCTTCTGTGGACTCTGTGATTCTCTTGTTTTGTTTTGTTTTTTTTTTGTTTTTTGTTTCTAAAGAAAAGGAAAAAACTAAATCACGATTAAATATGAAGGACAAGATAATTGGACAGTGGTACAGTAGATTTCGCCTCAGTTCAACTTATCAAATTTTTGTGCTGACTCGATCAATATACATGATCTGTTCATCCGGACTTACCACCGAAGTAATTATCTCGGCCTAAGCGCTGAAGAATTCTTTTTCTAATGCTGTGAGAAGCGGCAGAACCTGTGAAGAAAAAAATTCTGAGTCCGAAAATGAACCAAAGTGTAAGGCTGATTTCAGTTCCGTCTGCATAGCCAATGTCGGTATTCTTGGCAAATTTCACTCTCATTTTTCTGTGCCGTTGAATTTCATGCACATTCAAGTTGTCATACTTGCAAAATTTTAGATACTGTATCTGATACGATACAATTTAAATAGCTGTTTATTTTAAAACTGACCTTTGAGACTCCCCACTGTGTTAACTCTCTAGATGTTAATTTGGACAACCTATGTGGATCTTACAAGCTTTGTGAACTCTGCTCTAAACAAATATAGTTACTCGCTAGATTTTTCGTCGCTGACATCCTCGAACTTATACGTATACAAGCAGAATAAACTTATGATGTGATTCTTATCTTACTGCCAAAGTCTCCATACTCACTTTTCTTTTCTTTTTTATGGGGTTACATTATGACATGTTTTATTTAAGCGAAAAATCGGATTTTCCAGGGAGTAACCTCTATGAAATATGGAAAACAATGTAATTCAGCATTGGCGCTAAATCGGCTCCTTTGCGTCATCAAATTTTTTGGCGAAATTAAAGTAGTGAAGAACACCTCTGATATGGGTTGAATTTTTGCTTTCCTTTTTCAATTTTTCCATTTATCCACACCACTATTCTTCAACATACGATGTCTACGTGGAAGATGTCACGAATCGCTCAAGCTTGATTTGACAATCTTTACTAGAGGCTGCCTGATATTCATCAAGAGGAGACAAATTTCAACCTGTTTCTATCATACCTCGCACGTCTTTCTTTCTTCATTTTCAGTGGAAAGTGCAGAAGCTTTACACATATTTCAAATATTGATATCATTATAAAACGTAATTCTGCTGTGATGGCCAGGGAAAAATTAACTTTTCCATTTTTCCTTGACACTAGACACTCAGTTATATAATGCCGAAATAACATGGGAAACTTGCATCAATGTAAAATTAACCCGCTTGGAGTCATTGCACAGTTGTGTACACATAGAGCCTTTGTCTACTTTCTAATTTTACTTACGCATTTGTCGTTCATATCAATCCTCTTTCGATTCCAAAACTACTTGTCATGATGACAGAAGTACGTGATGAAAGGGAAAGCACCTTAAGCGATCGTTTTTACACCTGCTCAGAATGTTATTCACTTTTCCTTGGCCAAGTTTCAATTATTTTTTTAACGAAGGAAAACATCGGTTCCTGTTTCCATAAACAGCGTTCAGCCGAAATCATTTTCATGTCGTTTTTTATAGTAATGGTGTACAACCACATTTACATTAGTCACATAATGATATTGTTTACTGAGAAAGCTTTGCTGAGTATCTGTGGGGGAGCGTATTGTTGTTACGCTGTAAGGACATTTTTAGGGCATTTCAAATCTTTATCTTGGAAAGAAATCAATTAATCCACGATTGGGTATTTATTTTCAGTTATTTGAAAACATGATCGTCGTGTAAAATGTTGTTTTACTCTTTTCTCGTGCATGAAAAGCAGTAATGGGTATGTATTACAAAAAACAATTCTGCAGAAAGTAAATTAACATCGTGGGGTACTTTTTTTTTCAAGATTTAGGCGGAAAACAACTTGTTATTGTTAGCGAATATCGAAGACAGTTAATTCCACAGAGGTGCTTAATACCCATGAAAAAATTTAAAACGCGCAAATCTTCTCGAATTTTTCTGATGAGTGAAACACAAAATCTTGCAATTGCGGTGTCATCAGCGAACTCCAATCTGACAAAACCATCATTGATTCGTGATAGCGTTCTTTTAAATAATACTACTAAAAAAAACCTGCATAAAAGACACTGAAAGCGCAATATTAACGTTTCAGAGCTCGAAAAAGTTTAATTCAACCGTGAAAATCTGTTTCTGAGGATTTTTTAAAGTATTTTTTTAAAATTAATTATGCAATAATTTGCTTGATCACAACTTCATGTAGCTCTGAAAGATTAAAGTGATAAAATAGCAAGCTACAGAAGATTGGAAGAAGATATACGGACTACTTTTGATCTTTCAACCGGATACATAAAGTAGATTTGCTAAAAAATTTAGTTAGTTGAAGGAAATCCCATAACTCAGTATGGAATACGTGGAAGGGAAGGTAAACGTATAATCTGGGATGTCGATCTACGTAATAACCGAACACATGGCAGACCAACTTCAGTTTGTTCATGCTTCAGTTTAACATTAACGGGAAGTTGTGGCCCAATAAATGCTCTTAAAACATTCCGCTTTTACTTTTTACCATGAAGATCAATTTCGGTTTATGCTTAATGTTGAGATTTGATGCAAATACATCACTGTCATGCATTCTCAGCTATTTTAAAACTTAACTTTTTCAACTTTGAGCTCAGTTTTGTAATCAATCGATGTCAATTTTACCCATCTAAGCAATTCTTGACCTATTTTGGTTTGATTGATCTATTTCTATGTTAATATGTTTACACTTTAACTAATCTCCCTCACAGCGAACGAAATACTGTTCCCCACAAAAAAAAAATCACTCTAATTCAGTACCACAGACAAACGGCTACGTTTATGTGACTACCATAGCATACCTTGTAGCAGTTGTACAGGATCGAGGCAAATCGACGAAAATCTTTATAAATGATGCCAAAAGGACGTTAAAACTCTTCTATATGTTTAATTAATCGAATCAAACATAACTCAAGGTGAAGTAAACTATCAATGTTAACACAAAGCCTAGCGCAGTAGTTTATGAACTTAAGCCTCTGTTATGTGGTTTTCAATTTCTGAAAGACTAAATCTCCAAATCTGAATACAATTTGCGATGCGGAAGCTCTATCAAATATGAAAGCCCATAAAAACCACAGGAAATGGTTTTTAAAATTAGGTCAAATAAATAGGTATACGAACAAGTTGAGTAGGTAACCCAGGATCTGAATTTGACATCGAAGTAGGACGCTAGATCATGGATAGAAATGAACATTGCTTGTTGGAGCCCGACGGTTTAATGAGTTGTTGGTTTCTCAGTTGGAGTGATTTTTCACACGATTAAATGCTAAAAAAGGAAAGGAAAAACCCTCCATCGTTAACTCACAACAAACGCAAGCCTAAAACTGCCTGTGAGCAAAATTTCTCAAGCAAGAGTAAACTACAGTAAAAACCCGTGTATAAGAACCTAAAATTTACGAACCTGTTAAGACGAAAATTTCCCAGTTAAGAACCCCTGTTAAGAACCCCTGTTAAAAGAACAAGTTCTACTTTTAGAATGTAGAGTTTGCCCAAATTTGATACACTACATTGCATACGATACAGAAAGTTAACAAAAAACCCACCAGAACACCGGCAGTGTCAAGACCACAATACTGTACTGTCAATACATCCATAGCTGTGCACATACCAGACTGCGTATACAAGTCAACCATGTGAAGCAGGACACGATGAGACTAGTGTACAGCGCAGTATCACACCCACACCCACCAATACATGTTGTTTTTTTTTCAACAAAAATTTAGAACGTGATTAAGAACCTAGATAGCCTAAATTCACAATAAACACCATTTATATAATAACCTAAGGAAGTTAACGTGAAAAAACCTATGTTCTTACATGCGGGTTTTTTCTGTATCTCAGTCTGTGATTATTCTAAAGCCTTGTGGATTGATCGAGGAATTTCGTTTCATGGTTTAAGCCTCTCTATATCTTCTATATCTCTGTGATGCACGCTAAACGATATGGCTGTAATAAAAATCGCATTATATATACGTATGCCAGTCACATAAGTCTCATCCCTGTTCAAATCTTGGTTTATTAAGTTTGGAGTACGAAGAATACCTCGTCACATGATTGACGCATAGTAAAAACTTCACAAATCTCTAAACGTAGTAGTAAAATATTATAAGCGACTAGTTTTGTTTCCTCCCTCAAACCATGTATTTATAGAATGAAAGAAAAAACAAAAACAAAAAACAATAAACTGCACCACACCGGCGGATCAGTTTACACGAGATTGAAAGTGAGATATATCCTATCTGCGACATATATCCGTGGTAACATTTTTTTTATGTACTTAACTTTGTTGAAGGTCACTTGAAATTCCTTGCAATTTCTTGGCATTTAATGCCAAAAGATTTCTACAAAAAACTAAAAAGTCAAAATTCACAACACTTTCCAATCGGGCTCTCTAGATCTCTATCTCTCATTTGTAGGAAGTACCTTACGAAGAAAGAGAGAGGCATATCAAAAATAATAGCTAAAACGATTAATATAGCTTAGAACCGGTAGATGATAGTTTCATAAAGAATTAGATGTTGGAGTTTGATTTCACCTCTGGCTTTAATTAACTTCTACAGCGAGTGACATACAGGGTGACATAGTCAAGCATCAGAATAAGCCACGCACTTTTTTCGGCAGCTCTTGTCATTATGTTAAACTTAGCAGTAGGACAGACGCGTACTTACAAAAAGCTTACATGCAGAACATCCAATTGGTTGCACGAAATTTTATTAGGTAATGACTCGAATAGTTTCAGCTGTCGGGTAAAACTTACAAAAAAACAAATTTTGAGATTTAAGTTGGGACTTACCTGCTGACCTGATTTCCAAGAGCGTCGCGCCTCAACCGCGTCAGAAAGTCTGTAAACACTCTAACTGTTTCAACTGCCAATCTCTCCAGAAAGAACTGAAGATTTACATCAACAAAATATTTCCATAAAAAGCGAGTGTTTTGTGTCGATTTGCTTCCGTTCCAATACAATCCAACCACCCAACCAGAAGATGCTTGTTTTAAAGTAATTAGCCCAAAAAACGTGCTATGCCTTTTCTACTCGTGCGAAGACCAAACCCCTGCGTTCTGTTCTCATGCACATGATGCTTACTTACTGGAAGTTTTCTCTGACCACCTTCGCCATCTTTTACGTCCCTGTCGATGTGAAGGGCGCACACTTTACTGGTCATCATGCTGATGAATATGTGAAATTGGTGTGTTTTTTTTATCATTTTTCGGTGAAAATTAATTAGACAGCTTACGTGTAACAATTTAAACCGCAGAAATACATCTCGGGCTTTAGGGAAATTAAAATTACCCACGCATTTCCTAGAATTCCGGCTTCAGTGGGAGAGGTTAGAAACCAATCTCCTTGATGCAGCCATTTATCATGTGTTCATTTACTAAAATACAACTTATGTTCATTAACTCATGATCTCGTTAGACCATTTTATACAAACGCTATCCTTCCTCATTGTTCCTGAAATCGTGTTGACATCGTTAGGATAAAATGCAGAATTTTTTCTTAGTTTTCCCGTAGAGGCATTTCGGGAAAACCTTATAAACTAGTAGATCACATTTAAATTAGAAATGCAAAGGCAAGAAAAGGGAAAAAAATTAAGCTTTTACACTTCAATGATGTGACATGGGAGTTTGAAATATGCGTCATCACTTTTTATTTTAATTATAAGAACTTATAATGAAGGATGGAGCCGTTTATTTTTGCGCTAAGAAATAGAGGTTCATGAATTCGCTCTTCCGTTTGGAAAGGTTCCGTATAACCTCAAACTTTTCTGAATATTCTTCGTAATTTGCTGTTTAACTTTTCCCTTGAAGTAGAATCCCTGGCATTGTAGATTGTTATAAAACGTTCGCGAAAAATAATAATCTGCAGGTGCTTCCTTTTCCTTCAGTCAGGAGGCTTTTCACCTTTCTTTTAAGCTTTCTGGGATAAATCAGCTTTGTATTATTTTCATAAAAGTAACTTCAGGCAGTCTTATTGTGATTTGTACAAAATTTACGGTCAAATAATAATATAGTAACATAGTACCCTAACTGCTTCGAATATGGTAGACTTTTTTTTTCTTTTCCTTTCATTCTGTTCTCACCCACTCCCTCTTCGACAATATGAATCAACAAGCTCGTGGCTAGGCTACCAACTTAAAAGCTTGACAATTGTTTCATCAAGACCAATCATAATCCAATAATGCTTCGTTTAGCATTATAAAAGGCGGTTTGGATCAGAGTTCAGTTTAGCGTAGCCATTTG